TATACCCAAAATGTACCAATAAACTTAATGAGAAAAAAGAAAAAAATAAAAATAAAAATAAATTGTCATTATTTGTGAATGACATAATACTCTACATAGAAAACCCACCAAAAGACTTCTAGATTTAATAACTCTATACAGTAGCATTGCTAGATACAAAGTCAACACTCAAAAATCAATAGCATTCCTGTACACAAATAACAAACTCACTGAGAAAGAAATTAGTGAAACAACACCTTTCACAATAGCATCTTAGGAATCAATCTAACAAAGGAAGTCAAAGACCTTTACATGGAAAACTACAGTACTCTGCAAAAGGAGATGTAAGAGGATAACAGAAAATGGAAAGATCACCCTTGTTCTTGGATAGGAAAAACCAACATAGTGAAAATGGCCATACTTCCAAAATTGTTTTACAGATTTACTGCAATCCTGATTTTTAAAAACACCAACAGCGTATCTCACAGAATTAGAGAAAACAATCCTAAAATTCATTTGCATCCAGGAAAGACCTAGAATATCAAAAGCAATTCTGGGCAAGAGGCAATCCAATCCCTAACTTGAAATTATACTACAAAGTTACTGTGATTAAAAACAGCATGGTACAGGCAAAAAAACAAAAAAACGGACTCAAGAATCAGTGGAACAGATTAGAAGATGTAGAAACAACTCCAAACATTCTCAGCTACCTTATCTTTGACAAAGGAGCCAAACACCTTCCCTGGAAAAAAGATAACCTCTTTAATAAATGGTGCTGGAAAAACTGGCTTTTCATATGCTGAAGATTAAAACTAGACTCATATCTTTCACCATGCACTGAACTAAAATAGAAATGGATCAAAAATCTAAATATTAAAACAGAAACACTAAATCTACTGGAATATAAAATAGGTAGAACTCTTGAAGACATTGATGTGTGCAAAGACTTCCTGAACAAAACCCTGATCACACAGGAAATATAATAAAGAATCAACAACTGGAATCTCCTTTAATTAAAAAGCTTTTGCACAGCAAAAGACACCACCATCAGAGTGAAGAGACAACCCACAGTGGGGGAAAAAATTTTTCCAGCTGTTCCTCAAAGGACTAATAACTTGAACACATAAAGAACTCAAAAAAATCAGACCCCCCAAATTTAAAGACTCAATTCAAAAATGGGCATCTGAAATGAATAGACACTTTTAAGATGAAGAAGTAGAAACAGCAAATAAATATATGAAAAAATGTGCAACATCACTGGTCTTTGGAGAAATGCAAATTAAAACAACACTGAGATTCCATCTCACTTCAGAAAGAATGGTTATTATCAAGGAATCATTCAAAAACAAATGCTGGGGGCCAGGGATTTAGCTCAGTGGTTCCAGCACCTGCCTCCCAAGCTCAAGGTCCTGAGTTTGATCCCCAGTACCAAAAAAAACACCAAATGCTGGAGGGGCTGTGGTGGAAAAGGAATTCTTCTCCACTGTTGGTGGGAGTATAACCACTGTGCAACCACTGTGGAAATCAGTGTGGAGAGTCTTAAAAAAACTAAAACTAGAGCTTTCAGTTGGCTCAGCTATTCCTTCTTCATATCTTAAAGAAAGAATTAAAAGCATCATACCACAGCAATAAATCCACTTCTGTGTTTATAGTGGCACAGTTTGTAATAGCTAAATCTTGGAAACAGCCCAAATGCCCATCTACAGATAAATGGATAAAGATGTGGGGGTTTTTTTATACAATAGAGTACTATTCTGCAATGAAGAAGAATAAGCTTGAGACATTTCTAGCTAAATGGATGCACCTTGAGACCATACTCTTCAGTGAGATAAATTGTACACACACGTTTAAACACCATACTGTTTCTCTGGTGTGAGAAACTGAAAGTGTAAATAAGGACCAAAATGTATAATAGGTCATGTGAAATAGGAAGAAAATGTTCAAATGAGAAGGTGAATAAGGGAGGGGGGAGGGGGAGAGGAAAGAAGGGACAAGAGAAAAGAGAGAATAGAAGGAAAAAATGGAAAAAACAATTTGAGAGGTATATCTTTTTTATTTTTGTTTTTACTTTTTTTCAGACTGAGTCTTGCTATGTAGTTCAGGCTGGCTTGAATTCACTATGTAGCCCAAGCTGGCCTCAGATTCATGGTGATCTTCCTGCTTCAGCCTCCCCAGTACTGGGATTACAGGCATGTGCCACCATGCCCAGTGGAGGGTACATCTTAAAAGAAGCACTTTCATTTATTATATTGGCAAAAAAAATGAATAAATATCATCCAATGTTGGTGAGAGTGTGACGAAAAAGACAGTTTACTATCAGTGGAAATATAATTTGTTATAATTATTTCAAGGACAATTAAGCAAAAGCTAACAATATTTTTAACATGCATACTTTTCACTTCTTTGTTTGTTTGAAACAGAGTTTTACTCTGTAGCCCAGGCTAGCCTGGAACTCACTGCACTCCTCCTTCCTCAGCCTCTCGAGTGCTAAGATTATAGGCATGAGCCACCATGTCCAGCAATGTGCATGCTTTTTGGATAGCAAATCTATTTCTAAACTTTTATCCTCCAGAAAGACTTGTAGCTGAAATTGAACACAAAAAAATTACACCTTTCTTCCTCAAAATTTGGATTTTAGAGAATATAGAATATCAAAAGAAAATGTATATGTAACCTCTGCAAGAATAATATGCAGCTGATACTTGTCTGGTTCTTCATGCTCAACCTATACTCTCACACCCTCAGTTTGATTAACTTTGAGAATTGCCTCCCACCCATAAATACCAAGGGAGCATAAAGTGATAGCCTGGTACTTTTGTTTCTGTCCTGAGAGAACCTACTGGATATGTACAGGGTGGGTAGAGGGCACTCAAAGTGACACTAAGCACCAGTGTGCTAGTGCTTCATGATTGCAGGCCATTCAATCCTCACGACCCTCATAAAAATTAATATTATCATCATCTTCCGAATGAAAACAGCAAAGTTCATAGCAAGCATGGATTTATTGAACATATATTAAATTTGACCTGCAGACCCAAATGTAACACAGATATGTGATTGTGAAAGCAACACATGGGGCCTTTCTGAGATGGTCATAAAGGTAGAATAAAAAGGCTACGAGCACAGTTGATGACCTACTAAAACAGAGATCACTGTAGCCAGAGTTCAGAGAAGGGTTGCCTGCCACGACAAAAAATGATGGGAAACCTTGGAGTCTGTAGAAATCTCACAGATGCTCTATTGGCAGTCTTGTTAAGAGACAAATTATAGCTCTCCGTTTATCTGATGAAAGGTGACTCAAGTAATTCTTCAAGGTCAATACAAGCAGTGCACTCGAAGCCACAGCTCTGTTGCCCCTGAATCACAACAAAAAATAATTGTATCACATCTATTGACTCCTTGAAAAATAACAAATTTGTAATCAGCAAAACTGGAAAGTGTAACCCATTTGCTTTCAAACTTTCTGAGAAAATGTTAAGGGCCAGAGGAATGTGACATTGTAAAAACAGCAAAGTAACTGAAATGGTGTAATTTATAAAAATATTCAGGTTGATTAAAGAATCTCCTCCTTGCCTCAACAAGCTTCACGAGCTGCCCAGATGGATATTTTTTTTCATTGCTTATAAATTACAGCTTTCTGAATCTGTAACTCACAGAAATATATCATAGTAACCGCCTTGTAAATGCCTATGCCAGTGCTAAGCTGCTGGTCCCTTTCATTACATGCTGTGATTATGGATTAAATGATTTCATAAACATATTGGTTGTTTCACATTTGGCATGAGGCAGTCCTAGAGGCCCCACAATCTGTCATCGTTATTAATGAGATGTCGACCTTCTTGTAACCCAAGTTCCTGTTTAAATGTCAGCCAAGAAGAAAACCCTCCAAAACTTCTGAAAAACTCCTCTCAGACACCATTTCCAGGGTGGCTTCAGAAAAGCCAGTGGCTTCAAAGACCACATGTCTACGATATGAGATGTGGTCTTTGATGTTGCCTGCAATCCTTTCTCTCCTCAGGTCACTAAAGATCACCTGAAGCAGATGAAATCCTTAGAGCAGGTTTTTCAACCATTTTTACTGAAGATCTACCAATAATAGACAATGGTAAACTGCAGGAGCCCTGCAGACATGGCTGCTGAATCCTACCATAATTTGGAAATATCCTAGTCATGTGTGATATCCTTAAATTTTTATTATACATCTTGAATTCAATTCCACAATATCCCCAAACTTAACTTAGTATTTAAGAAACTTTGAATCAAATGAAATGGGGAATCTGAGCAAAAGGAATCATGCTTATCCTCAGCACGAGTATACTGTGGCTTTCACCCTACCAGAAGCCTCAGGGGTTCACATACCCTACTCCAAGGCTCCAAGTTTTAGGGATTTTTCTAAATGGCCACAATCTTATGTAATATCAGGAGTGGGGAAATAATAAAAGTAAACATAGTTTTCAGTTAAGAAATATTCTAAAATGGTTGCTTCCTAGGTAAATTAAGTCATTCCTCTATATTTTGGGCAAATACCATAACAACATTTCTTTTGTGTTGCTGAAAGAAATGGAAATAGTCAGATATAGATAATTAGTTTTCTTTATACTTCTTTTTTAACAATGAAACTTCAGGCTAGAAGGAAATCATGTGACAAGCCCAGAAAGTAGATCTGATACCTCCACATGTAGAACAAAACTTGGGCTTCAGACTTTAGGGTCTTTAAAGGTCTTTGCATAAAAGGTCCCACTTTTCCCACTGTATCAATATATAGTATTATAGTTTTCAAAGTTCTTATTCACATACATCCTAAAAGAAACTTGAAAAATGATATACTTAATTGCATATTTTTCTTCTTAAATAACTGCAAAAGATGTAATATTCAACATATAACAAGTATTGATATATTTAAACCAAATTTTATATATTAATCACTTAAATATTTCTAATGAAAATTGTCATAGTACTTTGATTGATGCTCAACCATAATCATATTTTTTTTAAAACCACATGAACAAGCTATTCTTATTTTTGATGTCTTCTTTTTCTCAAACTTATATTTTCATCCCATTTTCTCCACAGAATTTTATCCAAATATAATTTTGTTATTTATGAAACCCTTTTATTAATTACTCTAATAATATTCTCCACAATAAAAGCATGTATATAAATAGAAATTTAATTAATTTTTTTCATTTGACACACATCTTTAAATTTATTAGACAGGTTTTGCTACAAAAATAACCCTAGGATCTTAGTGGTAAGATAACATACATTTATCTTCCTTACTCGGAAGTCTCTGGGTCAGTGTAGTTGGTCTTCTCAGGCAGAAATCCAGCTAGACTTGGCTGGAGATCTTGGCTTGGTTGATATCTGTTCCCTTTTTCTTCTTCTTTGGACAAGAACCACCCTGGATATTTTCTTTTCAGGATAAATAAGATCAAATGATAAAGTAAAATCACACAAGCCTATCTAAAGCCTCTGCTTTGCCTCACATTTTCTGGGATTCCATTGGTCAGTGAAAGTACAACATTGGGGAAGTAGCATTACTACATTACCTTACTACAAAAGTAATAAACAGAGCATTGGGAACATAAATCCAACTGATCATTTAAGGTTTAAATTTTTCCTTCTGATTGAATTACTGTTACTCAGCTTTCTGTCACTGTGTGTAAAAAATTATCTGGCATACACAGGTTAAAAGGAGAAAAGGTTTATTTTGTTACCCAGCCTCAGAGGTTTCAGTCTGTGCTCATCCAGTTCCATTGCTGTAGGCCTGTGTCAAGACAGAAGGGCAAGTTGAGGAAAGCTGCTCACCTCCAGGAGCAGAGAGAGAAAAAGCGCTACAGAAGAAGAGGCCAGGACCAGATATAGTCTCCAAGGTCACATCCTCTAGGATCCACTCCCTTCAACTAAGCCCCACCTCCTGTTCCATCTCCTCCCTAGAATGCCATAAAATTATGATTTCATCCATGTATTCATCCCCTGATGAAATTAGTACCCTCATGACCCCATCACCTTCTAAAAATCCCACCTCTGAATACATAAGATTCTTAGGGAACCTTTTGGATCTAAACAGAGGATTTTACCATTACCATTATAATTATTACCATTACCATTATAATTTTTGCAATATAAATAACAAAACAACAATATATTAAAAGTTTTGAAAAATAATTACTAAACATAAAAAAGTTTTATTAAAGATACATCCCAATATGGAATTTTAAAAATTAGATCATGTATCTGTGGATGACAATGAACAGAAAATGAAACAAATAATTTTCATATCCTAATTAATTTTCATTTTCATAGACAAAAGCATTGAGAAACTTTGTTTACATAAATAAGTAGAAATGAAAAGATTTTTAGAGCAACATAACTCAATTCTTTGAACTCCTTTGTTTTATATCAAAATTTAGTGATTCACCATTACAAATTTTAATGATCTAGATGCTGTCAAGTTGATTTTTCTTTCAATTTTGCTGAAAGCAAAGAATTGAAAAGTATATACCTTGTGAAATATTTTATTGCATGGTCATTCTTTTTTATTTACTATTTCCCATTTCTAAAAATACATGTAAAACAGTTTACCAAGAGACTATTAACTATATCTGATTATATAATTTAATTTTTGTATGAACACCTTGTTACACTTGATCTTATCCAAAAGGCTAAGACATGATAAGATGAACATCTTCTATAGCACAATTTACTAAGAGAGCAATGGGAAAATATAATATTTCTAATTTTTTTCTTCATATTTCTTAGAGATGTTGATTTAAACCTGTGACACAATGTTAGTAAACTTATGGCAAAGAAACATTTAATATTAAGAGCCTAGGACTTGTAGTCACATCTAACTCTGTCACTAATTTTATGACTTCAGACTAATAATTTCATTGTGCTATTTCCATATGCTTATTGGTTAAAAGAGAAAATTAGTTCCTTCTTAGACTGAGAGGATTAATAGGATAACATATGGAAATGTTTGGTAGGATGCCTGTTGATCATTATCATTTAGTCTGTTTAGTCTTTAGGTTTTTTTGTGGTTTTTGTCCCATCAAGTTTATTGGTACAATTTAGGTATAAAATACAGTTACATTCATCATTGGGATCTTGTACCATTACATGAGTATCTTGGTTCTTATTTTTTTCCCTATTCCCCTGCCCTCCTTTCACCCCCCCTTCCCTATTTGCAAAGACTTTGTTTCCATTTTTTTCCTTTTCTCATATTTTTCTTTTCCCTTTTTTCCTTTCCACTACCCCTCCCACTTCCCCTAGTCCTATAGACCTTTACTTCCTATTACACAATATCAATTATACATTTTTAAAATTACAATATCAAGATCTAGGAGACATTACCACAGGTTTTACAGAATTTAAAAGGATGTAGAAAGCATATTACAAAAATCTGTTTTGAAATAAATTTGACAACTTCTAAGAAGTACCTTGGAAGACAAATTAATGAA